TTGTAAATGATACAGATACAAGAGATATTCTTGGAGTACCTGCACGCGGTACTATAAGATATGCAATATGTTAGGGTCAGTTGATGTGTATTGATATCTGGATCGTCGTTGACAGCCTCTAGAATGTGTCCTTCGTATTTAGGCTTACAGGCGGATCTCAGTCTTCCTCGATCCATAGTTTGTGGTGCAACGGATCCTGTCTCAGCAACGCGACGATAAACAGCGGCAAAGTTTGGATGACTCGGCTGCCTTTGGCCGGGAATGCTATTTGATACACCCGTGCAGACTCACATCCATTACCATTCCCGGGGCCGTATGTCAAAATCATATCTGCCTGCACACGATATGAATATCCTGCGATTTGGAAACGGAACACTTCTCAGTTAACTCACTACTAGACAGTTAAACGTTGAAGACAGTCTAGCCACAAATGTACACGAATGACAAATGTAACCTAGTCTACATACCAACACAGCACCGTCTATCGTAAAACTTTCTTTAAACGGAATAACGCAGAAAAGAAGGATTTACGCATATGTTATTATGGACTTTTGTCCATGTTTTCGCGTGAGGAGCCCGCCGCCACAGTTTGTAAAAGTGTTTTTGATACACCTGTACATATATATATATATATATATATATATATATATATATATATATATATATATATGGTGATGGCCACATTTAATTATGAGAAGTAAATTAGAGTCCTCCCACGCCCAAACTATACACCGTTTGAGATAACTTTCGTCTCGTTTCGCTGTCCATGTCCCCTAAGATGTGACCAGTACTCGATTTCATAGGTTTCAGGCACATATGGCAGATAAATTCTGTATAGTTAATTGGATTGATTGGATCCACATGTCTTACAACTCACCTGCGTACCTGTATACATAGATGATGACCACTAAAAATTTTAAAATATATATATATATATATATATATATATATATATATATATATATATATATATATATATATAAAATAGCGCACAGTGTACTGGTGGCAATAAAACAATGCGCCATGTACAATAATAGACATAAAATTGTGGTAGCAAAATGTATATTTATTATTATGAATATATCTATATATCTATATATCTATATATCTATATATATATATATAAAGTAACTAGCATTGAAGTCCAAAGCCCAAAGAAAAAAAAAACGATACGAGTAAGTAAAATAACTAAATAAAATGCTCAATACGTTAAGTAGAGTAAAGCAAATTAAACCCAAAGAGCCAGACAAACCTACCAAGGTTTCACCTAACGGATTGTCAACTAACTATATATAAAGTAATGTATATGTATATATATATATATATATATATATATATATATATATATATATATATATATATATATATATATATTGTTACCTTACCACTTATCAGGCACTGTCCTTTACTCCCAGAAATATATATATATATATATATATATATATATCGTCGTGGTTTAGAATACATACATATATATATATATATATATATATATATATATATATATATATATATAAATATTATAAATTAACTGTTTTAAAATATGGTTTTTTCCGTTACACAGTATTAGTGCTTGGTAAATTTACATCGAGCACTATTTTGTAAAATAAAAATACCGATAAGAAAACCGGATTATATATCTTACTGTTCTTTCTTTTTATTTATATACATATACATATATATATATATGTATGTGTATGTGTATGTGTATGTATGTGTGTGTGTGTGTGTCTTTAGGACTAATACAAATATAAAATTAGTTACTTAGCCGAACAACTTTTTATAGTTGTCCATTCTACCCAGGAACGTTCAGTAATTTAGTATATATACATATACATGCACACACACACACAAACACACACACACACACATATATATATATATATATATATATATATATATATAATGAACACACACACACACACACACATATATATATATATATATATATATATATATATATATATATATATATATATATATATATATATATAATGAGATAGATAGGTAGATAGATATGATGTATATCAATGTACCAATAATTCTTCTGAAAATGTCTGTTAATTTATTATTGTCTTTTTTCCCTATTTTTTAAAATAATTTCTTGAATATATGGATCAGAATGTTTGCGTAAACTATCCAGAATTTATGGGATTCTTCTATTGGTCTTTATTTCTAGAATATTTTCAACCTTGTAAGTCATTATCATGAATGTTATCATAGACAACAATTCTGTTAGCTCTGTCATGGCCATTTTTCAAGCGTTGCATTGCAAATTCAGATATATGTGTAACTTGGAAGTGACGTCACTTGTGAAACCGTTTCTCAAAGCTTAATAGCACAGGACACAAGCATACAAATCATCTACGCTTATTTTCATTGTATTAGACGCACTTTAAATATTTTATGCACATTTTTAAAATCCTTTTTATATGGTGAATTAAATTTATTTAATGCGTATCGTCTTGTTAGTCAAATGATAGCTACAATTA